CCAACTACTATTTCGTCTTTGCTTTTTAAATAAAATATAAAATTATTGTGATTTTTCTGTTTTGCATTATTTGGGGGGTGGGGTGGGCTACGGTTGTACTCCTTTCTTTTAAGATTAATTTTATTCTCGTTTTGTTTTTGTATTCTTCTTTGATTTCAAGTAAACAAATTTACACACTCTAGATAGAAATACTCAGGGTGGATGGATGGATGGATGGATGGATGGATGGATGGATGGATGGATATAAAGTAGGCCTTATACATGTTTATGTAATTTGCTGTCCCAAGACAAAGGAGTACAACTCCCTTTAAAATACACCTACATTATAATTATTCAAAGGGTACATGACGTCACATAATGAGCATGTAATTTAGCACAAAACGTGCAATTACTGGTGACCAGAGTGCTGTGTATACATAATTTGCTCAGCTATGTGAACTACGTACGTATGGGAGGTTGCATTATCTATAAACGGTGGTGTACCTATTATCTAAAGCTAGCAACATTTATCCAGATGAAATCACGTGAAATCGGGCAATTTGCGTGTATGTGCACACCCTATAAGCAATGCCTGCCTTTGTAGTGACCTTTTTTTATATATAGCAGTGCTTTGGATTGGTTGAAAAAGCCAAAATGCATGCTTAATGCTTTCTGAATGAGACTGGTGTGAAATACTTATTTTAAAAACGAGTGATGGCGTGGAAATACATCTTTTGTATCATACTATTAGTGTTGTCTCTATTTGATGGACTTCAATATATTATTCATAGGTTTTCGGTGTCGAGGTAAGTATATTATACTAGATGTCGTTCACGTTTTGGTGTCACTTCTTTTATATTGCTACCGACATCTGTGGTATATCATAATTGTCTTGACCTAAATCTCGCACGTAACGACACGGATTCGTTTCCCATGAGGCAAAGATTTTCAATTTATAGAAAATGTCTGAGGCTGTATCGAGATGTAATCCGTAAACTCGGGGGAGACCCTGGCAGACAGGCTGGAAGCAGCCCGCCTCTGATTGGTCTAAACCATGTCGATAACATAAGAAAAGATAAATAAATAAATCGATTCCACTTGTTAATCCCCTTTGAAATGTGCTTTTCACTGGCATGGATAAATACATGAATAAAACACATTACCACAAACACAGATTGCTTTCGTCACTTAAAAGCACCCTGGGTATTTTGTTTAATTTTTTATTTATTTTTACGTTTTGGAAAGGGGGGGGGGTATTTGGTGTTTAGCTAGGGATATTGTGTCTTTCTCAAAGACACAGCCCAGTGACAACGCACCTACACGCCGTTTCACCAACACACGCTTGACATTATGCCTGATCTTATGCCTCAGCTCATTAACCACTCGGCCACTGGAGCTCCTAAACAATCGTGCACTTGATTTTTGCAACGAGATGTTAATCAATCTTAGTATAAGTTAGAAGTTTCACGGCGCTGGCAAAACAGCCAGGTCATACAAGTGCCGAAGATTAGATGTGTCACTGGAGAGTAACATACAAAGAGAAGGAGAGGTAAGGACAATAGATGTAACATTGTTCGATAGAAAAGAAAGAGCAGGCCACACCAGAGTACCCGCCAACCTCCGACCATGATGAGCTTATATTCTGTGGTCTTTGTTCCCCTTGTTCCAGGAGCTGTTCCGCCTGTGTGATCACGAGGACAAGGGTTATATCACCAAGACGGACATGCAGGTAATACTCTCCGCCTCTTTCACCCTGATATTGGGTAGGGGATGGGTAGGTTCAGAGCAACCTATCTGCAGAACCTAAACAGATGGGTAACGGGGAAAAACCAGGGCAATGTTGCTTTTTTAAGAGTATCCGAGAAAAGGAAAGAATGGAGAACTATGATTGCCGATATCTGTCGCAGATAAGACACTTGATGATGATGATGATGATGATGATGATGATGATGATGATGATGATGATGATGATGATGATGATGATGATGATAAGGTATAGGCCGCCAAGGACTTAAGAACAATAAATTCTATTTATAACCTCTATGCTCTCCACATGTCTTTGTTCTGGCAGACCTTCTACACCTCCATCCAGCTGTGTACCATTTTTGTTGTTGTAATTAATGCCTCAGACCTGCCTTTAGATTTCACTCCTAGGTGGATCTTGGCCTTCCTCTTTTTCTCCTCCTATGGGGGTTCCGTCTTAGGCTTTGTCGTGTTACGTTGTGGGCTGGTTTCCCGAGTGTTTGTCCAATCCATCGCGTTTTGTTTTAGCCTCAATTGGTTGCACGCCATTGATTATTATTTATACAAAGTCTACTTGCAGTCGAATCTGTTCTGAACACTACCTATCCAAGACAGTCTACAGCACAAAATTAAATGACTAGGTTCCACTTCCACCCTTGTGTTTTAAAACCCCCACAATGACACTGCCGTGGGTGGTTGGCGGGTGCTCTGGTGTGGTTTGTTTCTTATTTCCTATCAAACATCTGTCGTCCTTATCTCACCTTCTTCTTTTTTATGTTTGTTACTCTCTTGTAACACATTTAATCTTCTGGCGCTCATATGACCTTATGCAATTGTGAGCGCCGTAAAACCACTACTAAAACAAACAATGACACTGCCCCAGAGGACCACCTGTCTGAGATGACCACTTTTCGCCTAGACAATGGGCGGTCGTCTTGGACAGGTTCGACTGTGTATATTTACATTTTCTCACTGTATCTTGATACAAAGTTCTCACCATAAATGTCATTTTACGGAAACTCCATATCGTACAAATACGTAATTTTATTTATTTTTCACTAACACTCTGGGTGCATTTTGAAAGAATTACATAATGAATATGTCCTCCAAACGTTTAGAGATTTATGTATATCCTTGAAAAAGAGTTAGACAAATCTTCCAGTTACTTAGTCAGCTATTTAGATGTGTAGATGATC